GTCCCCAGGGCCCATGGCATCTTCCCCGGAGGCAGCATGCAGCCCACCTGCTTTGGATCCTAGCTCCTCATTCTCTCAATGATATTGCCTTGGGTAGGCCTCCTTGCCTCCCTGAACCTTGACCTCCTGCTCTGGAAAACAAGGATAAACCATAGTGCCCACCCCAAGGGGCTGCCGTGAGGATGAACTTGAGGGCAGAGCACCTGACACAATGCTTGCTATGTGGCTGGTAATTTAAAAGTTGGCCATTTGGGGATCAGCTCTTCTTTAAAAAATTGAGGGCCAGGGGCAGTGGCTACTGTAATCCCAGCACTTTGGGAGGCTGAGGTGGGCGGATCATGAGGTCAAGAGTTGGAGACCAGCCTGGCCAACATGGTGAAACCCCATCTCTACTAAGAATACAAAAATTAGCCGGGTGTGGGGGTGTGCACCTGTAATCCCAGCTACTCAGGGGGCTGAGGCAGGAGAATCTCTTGAACCCGGGAGTTGGAGGCTGCAGTGAGCTGAGACCTCACCATTGCACTTCAGCCTGGGCAACAGAGCGAGACACCATCTCAAAAAAAAAAACAAAGAACAAAAAAAAATTGACATTCACGTAACATACAATCACCATTGAAAATGTTCAGTGGCATTTGGTGCATTCATAATATTGCGCAGCTTCCAGTTCTCTCTAATTCCGGAACTTTCTTGTCATACTGAGAGGAAACCTCACCCCCATAGGTAGTCACTCCTCATTCCCTCCTCCTCCAGTCCCCAGCAGCCGTTCACCTGCTTCTGTCTCCATGGAATCACTGCTCTGGATGTTCCGGAGAGAAGGAATCCTCTACCCCGTGGCTTCGAGTCTGGCTTCCTTCACTGTGCACGTTTTCAGAGCTCATCCATGTTGTAGCAGGATCAGCACTTTCATTCCTGTCTGTGGCTGAATAACACTCCCTGACGTGGATACACCACAATTTCTTCTTCCATGGTGGACGCTGGGGCTGTTCCTGCCCTTTGGTTTTATGTAGAATGCTGCTGAACATCACGTACAGGTTTTTGTGTGGACCTGTTTTCTTTCTTTCTTTTTTTTTTTTAGACAGAGTCTTGCTCTGTCACCCTGGAGTGCAATGGTGTGATCTCATTTCACTGCAACCTCCACCTCCCAGGTTCAAGCGATTCTCCTGCCTCAGCCTCCCAAGTGGCTGGGACTACAGGTACCCGCCACCATGCCCGGCTAATTTTTATATTTTTAGTAGAGTCTGGGTTTCGCCATGTTGGCCAGGCTGGTCTTGAACTCCTGACCTCAGGTGATCTGCCTACCTCAGCCTCCAAAGTGCTGGGGTTACAGGCGTGAGCCACCGCGCCCGACCAAGTTTTCATTTCTCCATTCATTTTCTCTTTGTTTTCCTTAAATGCCAAGAAGTGAAATTTCTGGCACCTGGTAATTCTGTGTTTAACTTCTTCACCAACAAACCGTTTTCCACAGTAGCTGCACCGCTGTGTCCCCATCAGCAGTGCAGGAGGGTCCTGTCTCTTGACATCCTCACTGACACCTTTTATTTTCTTTTTTGTGATGTTATTACTGTAGCTACCCTCATGGGTATGAGGAGATGTCTCCTGTGGTTTTGATTTGCATTTTCTCAATGACAGTGATGTTGAGCCCCTTTTCATGTACCAGCTGGCCATTTCTATATTTTCATTGAAGAAGTGTCTATTGGAGTCCTTTGCCTACCTTTTTAAAATATTTCTTTAAGAGTCTGGGTTTCACTGTGTCACCGAGTCTGGAGTGCAGTGGCATGATCAGAGCTCACAGTAACTTAGAACTCCCGGGCTCAAAGGATCCTCCCGCCTCAGCCGCCTGAGTAGCTGGGACTACAGGCACGAGCCATCACGCCTGGCTATTTTTAAATTTTTTTGTAGAGACTGGGTCTCACCATGTTGCCCAGGCTGGTCCTGAACTGGCCTCAAGTGATCCTCTTGTCTCGGCCTCTGAAAGCACTGGGATTTTCAGGCATGAGCCACTGCACCTGTCCTCCTAACAGCACGTTTCCTTCTAATCAGTTTTCAGTTTTAGCTCTTGTGTTTAGGTCTTTGGTCTATTTAGTGGGAAAACCACTTTGTTGGCTTGTAATACACCCAGAGGGGTGCATGCGTTATACCTGTGCATCTTGACACATCTTTACAAACTGCACACATGTAACCGGTGCCAAGTCAAGAAAGAGAACAGGCCCAGTGCCCCAGGCTCCCCTGTGAGTCCCCAAGGCACTCTAGCCACGTAGATCGCTTTGCCTGGTTCTGAACTTCGTAAACCTGGGCCTGTTCTCTTGTGTCCGACTTCCTTGGCTTGGATCAGTTCACCAGCATCCTCCATGTTGTTCGTTCAGGACATGAGGGTGCAGTGTGTGTTAGTCCATTCCCGTGACGTGTAACAGAATGCCTGAAACTCCTGGGTGATTTATAGAGAAAAGGATCGATTTCCTACAGTGACGGAGGCTGCGAAGTCCGGGGTGGAGGGGGCACATCCTGTGGCTGGTGGGAACTTTCTGCAGAGTCTCGAGAGGACCCAGGGCACCCCGTGACGAGGGGCGGAGTGTGCTGGCTGGCTCAGGCCTTTCCTCTCTTCCGAGCCACGAATCCCGCTCCCACGGTGACCTATTAGTCCATGAATGGATCCGTCCATCCTGAGGACATGGCCTTCACGGTCCACTCCCTCTTAATGGCCCAGCTCTCAACACTGCCGCTCTAGCGATTAGATTTCAACATGAGTTTTGAAGGGGACAAACAGTCCAGCTGTAGAGGGGAGCACGTGAAGGGGTCCACACCCCGGGCCTAGGATCCGCGCCAGGACTTGGGGACAGCCACGCTGTGGGTTGAGAGCCTGCAAGGCACGACTTAAGGTCTTCTTCACTGCAGCTCCACCACCTGCCAGCTCTGCATTCACCGCAGCTCCAACACCTGCCGCTGTGTGACCTTGCTCAAGCTCTTCCGCCTCTCTGTGCCTCTTACGGTAAATGAGTAACAGTTTTCCCGTAGCACTGCCACAAGTGGTGTGTGACGAGCTATGGAACAAGCTGTGGAGGCGTGGCCACTGCCACTGTGGAGGGCTCAAGCCCGGCGCCTTATAAACTGTCCCAGCAGCATTCTCATGATTCACATGTGGGCATGCCGTGTGGACAGCAGGGTCTGTGTGACCTGCAGGGTTGCTTCCCATCCCCTGTGGCTGCCACCAAACTCCTGCTGTTAGAGGAGGTCACTGTGAAGCAGAGGCGCCTGGATTCCGCAGGTGTGAGGACGAGTCACAGGTCACAAACCCAGGAATACTCGTTATGACTACAGTGAGCCCGCAATTGACAATTGTGACGTTGATACCTGGTGACTTTTATTTTTGAAAACACAGAGCTGTCTCGATCTCTGATGTACACTTAAGAGTGCTACTCAGACTACCGGGCATGTTAATAATTGTGATCAGCGAAATGATCGTTTCACCCACATTCTGGGGCCAGATGCTGAGGCATGACCTGCTGTCCAGAGAGATCCCTGCACCTGGTGCTCCCTGAAGTGGCCCAGGTGCCAGGCCCTGCACTTGAGAGGCTGGCCGTCGAGTGGGGAAGAATACACCCAAGTAATCGCCAGACAGTGTGGAAATGGGGCTGTGAACGCCCGGATTAGGGAAGCATCAGGGAAAGCTCTCAAGGGGAGGTGGCATGTAGGCTGAGATGGCAGTCAGGGTGGCAGGGGCTGGGGAGTCAGGGGGTTGCTCCATGGAAGGGCCAGCTGGTGCCGAAGCCTGGGCCTTGGAGGGCAGGCGGCACTGAAGTCAGCCTCCTCACCTGGGGGAAGGGCCCCTTTGCCGGGAGACATTCTTGGCCTTGTCACCTGACCTGGAGGCTGGCAGAGGAGGCCACACCAGGCCGTGTGCAGGAGAAAAGTCTTGAGATGGAGTCTCGCTTTGTCACCCAGGCTGGAGAGCAGTGTCATGATCTCTGCTCACTGAGACAAATACGGGCCCTGATGGTGGGGACCGGCCCTTCCAGTATCCCCTGCGTACCTGTGCGCAGGGCATGCTGTGTCCATGCCAGGTGCTGTGACCAGCCGACATTTCTGCTTTAGCAGAAACGTTCTGCTTTGTGCTTTCTTCTCCGCCTAATTCTCTGGGCTCTTCCTCCCAATACACAGGGGCTGCCTTGGACTGTCTTCATCCCAGGGAAGGCACAGGACAGGGAAAACTGGATGCTCAAAAATGACATTTCAGCCCTTTACTCACTGATTGAGGAAACTAGTTATTACAAATTCAGTTTAGGTGGGGATTAGGAAAGCTCTTTCCGTTTCAGGAAAGAGTGAGCCTCAGACTTAGCAGTGCATTTAGTAGCAGGCGGCTGCGCCTTGCCCTCAGGTAGGAGTGTGGCTCTAACGTGCTGGTGAATGCAGCATTTAGGGGAATTTTTTGTTTTTTGTTTTTGCAAAAATAAGCCAAACCAGGCAATGTAATTTATTTGGGTTATTTCAGTATTAGTGTTTGTAATCTAATTTAATAAATTTTAAGAATGTTAAAAACAAAATGCACGTTGAACACACTGAGCGATACAGAGATATGAAGAGGAAAGTATTGATCCTTTTCTGCCCACTCCTCTAATTCCTGCACCTGGGGAAATGTGTCCTCTTTCCCTCCCCTCCCTCTGCCCTTTTCCTTCTTCCCTGCCTGTTAAACTCTCCACTCCTTAAAACTGCTCCTCATGGTGGAGGAGGCTGACCCCTCATGGACTGCCCTGGTAGGGAGCAGCCCACCTGAGCAGGGTGAGCAAGTGCAGCCCAGACTCCCCCATGGGGTGCATTGGACAGCCTGAGGGCACCCCCTGGTCCAGGCTTTGCTCAGGGGTCTTGGGTCCCGAGGGTGGGGGCTGGCCCTTCCAGTATCCCCTGCGTACCTGTGCACAGGGCATGCTGTATCCATTCCGGGTGCTGTCACCCAGCCAACAGTTCTGGCTTTAGTAGAAACGTTCTGCCTTGTGCTTTCTTCGCAGGCTGGGGAGAAGCACTACCACCCTTCCTGCGCGCTATGTGTCAGGTGCGGCCAGATGTTCGCAGAAGGAGAAGAGATGTATCTTCAAGGTAAAAAATAAAATGTGCTGTTTGGTCCCCTAGGGCAAGGAACTACTCTTAAGAGGTCCACACCATGTGCTGGGTGTGAATGGGTTGGCTACGGTGTCATCTCGCTAGGTCACGAGCAGCCCAGCCACAGTGGAGAGCTGGCAAGGCAGGTGGGGCACATGCCCGGACGGCCTCCTCAGCCCGCCTTGTGTGTCCAACAATCTCAGTGAGCCCGAGACCAGCAGGAAAGGAAAAGGGCCGGGCCAAAGACCAGGACCCAGAAGTGCTGGCTGGTTGGCTCCAAGTAGCAAAGCGTAAGCAACTGCCGCCTGTTACCATCCATTGCCACGTTAGGCCCTTCTAGAAAGCCACCCCAGCTCAAGGAGTCCAAATGAGGAGTTTCAGGTGTTTCCTGCACCAGCCACCCCAGCCTGCCGTGACCCCTCTGTCCACAACAGAGGTTGGTAGCAAGGTCCTGAGGGCCACTGGCAGGGCCGTAGATTTTCTTCCAGGAGCAAGGGAAGAGCCAGCCCCACCGAGCATTGGTGACAGGAGAGCTTGGAGGGAAACTTAGCGGATTTCTAATGGGCCTCATGGGAAATGCCCCAAGCCATTAAAAAAAAAATCACTGCAATCGGCCAGGTGCAGTGGCTCATGCCTAATAATCCCAGCACTTTAGGAGGCTAAGGCAGGTGGATCACGAGGTCCGGAGTTCAAGACCAGCGTGGCCAAAATGGTGAAACCCTGTCTCTACTAAAGGTACAAAAATTAGTTGGCACCTGTAATCCCAGCTATGTGGAAGGCTGAGGCAGGGAATTGCTTGAACCTGGGAGACAGAGGTTACAGCAAGTTGAGGTCACACCACTGCACTCCAACCTGTGCAACAGAGCAAAACTCCATCTCAAAAAAACAAAAAGAAAAAATCACTGTTATCACAAAGGCAGGGTGTCCTGTGTGCTGCCAGACTGAAGAAAGACTGGAGCTTGATGACTGGTCGCCTCTCCGCCTCCCAGATCAACCCTTTTTAACTCATTGCTTCTCATTTTCACAATTAAATTAACTTCCGATGGCAGCATTAGGCTACCCTTTATATCTTCACAATGCAAGGGTCCAGTGGCAGGGGAGGAGGGAGGCAATGGCTCTTGTAGGGGGAAGAAATGTAATTTTCTACCTTTTATCATTCTTAGTTGGGACAGATCCGTGTAACAAAAGGCATATTAGCAAGAGAAGGATGAACGGAAGCTTACTGACACGTGCACCTCGTGTATGCTCCAGAGGTAGCCCAGAGAAATGAGGACACGCAGGGGCAGATCTCCAAGAGGCAGCTTTGGGGTTTTTCTTGTCTTTGTTTTTGTTTTTTTGAGACAGAGTCTTGCTGTCTTGCCCAGGCTAGAGTACAGTGGCAAGAACTTGGCTCACTGCAAGTTCTTGTGATTCTCCTCTCTCAGCCTGCCGAGTAGCTGGAACTACAGGCATGCACCAGTATACCTGGATAATTTTTTTTGTATTTTTAGTAGAGACGGAGTTTCACTATGTTGGTCAGGCTGGTCTCGAACTCCTGACCTCAGGCAACCTGCCAGCCTTGGTCTCCCAAAGTGCTGAAATTACAGGTGTGAGCTACCATGCCCAGCCATCAAAGAGGCAGCTCTGACCTCAGGCTGAGACAACAGCATTCCCTACAACAAAGAAGAAAGGGTGTGGGGAGGCAGTTACATCGAGATGGGACAGGAGGGGACCTTAGGCAAGGGGGGCAGTGCTGTGCATCTTCTCCGTGGAGAAGAGACCCCAGGGACTTTGGGTCATCCTGATCTTCCTGGTGCAGAGAGGAGACACCCTTAGAGATGGAGGCTCCCTTTGGAGATTTCGATTCCCATTATAAAATGGTCACTTCTACTCGCTTTTCAGTGCTTTTCTGAGTCTGCTGTTTCCCCAGTAATCAACTCAAAATAACCCTTATGCCAGAGGGGCATGTCAGGGGCGGCACATCCTGGCCTCCTAGTCCTGTTTGGGGTGTCATATTCTGAGCCCCATCACTCTCCTTGCAGACAGGCTCCTAGAGTTGCACTTCATCTTATCACGCTGACCACCCCCCTACATATTGCTTATTCATTCCCTGAGCCCTCCCTGCTAAAGAAAATTATTCTGGCCCTCGTTAAGACCAGTAAGGAAGACACTTCTGGACTTTGCAACAGGAGTCAGGACTATCACAATGGAAGAGAGAGGGTGAGATTCTGAATGGCAGACAGTGGGGATTGCAGCCGATGAGCAGGCGTGGGGCCGCTGGTGGAAAGTCGCTGGAGGTACTGGGCTTCTTGCTGAACTGACCCCGTGAGATGCTCGCTGAAGACGGGGTGGGGACTGAGACTTCAAGGAAGGGATGAGGAACTCAATCAGAAGTGGAGGGAGATGAGGCTTCTAGGCCCGGGGATTCCTGCCAAACTGATTTTGCAGGATTCTTGCTGAAACTGGGCCAGGCAGGCCTGAGACTGGATGGGTTGTGAAGGTGATGGTGGCGGCCTGCGGAACGGTCGAGGCCTAGTTGAGAAGAGAGAGGGTTCAGAGGTCGCAGGGGCACTGGTGGGACAGCGGCCGTGTGTTGGAGTGCAGCCCCCAGGCCTGATGATGGACTGGATAGGGCAGAGGGGTCCTGGCGAGGGGGGGTCTGATATTGAGACTTGGTCTCTTTAGCCACAACTCCTTCTTGAAGATTCTCTGTCTCCAGTGCTCCCAGAGGCCAGCTGGGCCAGGCTGAGTCGGGGAGACGGCTGTCAGAGCGTCTGCTGTGCAGGCCCCTGCAGGCTGCTGAATGACCTCATGCAGCCATCATCACCAGGCTGTGGGTCACACAGGCCTCCCTTTCTCAGGCTGAACCCAGTGAGGTGACGTCAGACAGGATAGCCTCATCCCCGGTGTTGCCTGTTCCTTGAGTCTCTGCTCGAGAGCCCATCAAAGGGTCCTTTGGGACCGTCCCAGCAGTGCCAGGCTGTCTGGGTGGGGGACTTGCTCTGCATGGGGCTTGGCTACCACAGTAAAGGGTGCCCTTAGACAGCGGGGCCTGGTGGACGCTGAGCACAATGGCCTTGGGACGGCAGCTGGGGGACACAAGTTCACATCAAGGGTAACCTTATCTCAGGAACAAAGGCACCCTTCAGGACTGGCTGAGGCCGGCCCCTGCTTCTGCTGTGAGGTTCTGTGGGATGTCAAACCCAGGCCCATCCCCTCTCCAGACTTGGATTTCTCAGTCTGAATGATGACAGGTCAGACCAGCTGTGCGGCTTTCAGGCTCTGCTCCCTGGCACAGGCTTCCTGGGGGCCCCCACCCTGCCCTGTCATCCTGAGACCCTCTGTGTAGCCTCCAGGAATGACAGGGCTCTGTGCAGATATTATTTGGCACACAAATCCTGCTGCAGTAAAAGCTCTGAAAAGCATGGGTCCCAGCGACCCCCATGGTCTCCTGAGCGACGAGGCAGCCCAACCGCCGCAATGCCACCACTGCTCCTGCCATGGACACTCCGTAAACACGGGGTGGGGCGTTAGATCCCACTAATTGTTAAGATGCCCATATTAAAATAATGAGATCCTCATTTTTCTCACTGGGGTGACAAAGATGAAAAGGAAGTGTGAGCCCCATGTTGGTGAGAAATTCTTACGCAACTGATAGGGATGAAAATTGGGAAATTGCCAGAAAAATCTCAGGAGCCCTAAACACGACCCCACTCTTTGAGCCCAGACTCCATTTCTAGGAATGTGTGCCTGCTGTGTGCAGTGGAGCCCCTGCAGCGTCGTTTAGAAATAAGCAACACCTGAGAAAGATCGGGAGCGGAGGCTGGTGCAGGGGCTCAGGCCTGTAATCCCAGCACTTCAGGAGGCCGACGTGGGCAGATCGCCTGAGGTCAGGAGGATCACCTGAGGTCAGGCGTTCACGACCAGCCTGGCCAGCACAGCGACCCCCGTCTCTGCTAAAACTGGTTGTGGTGGCGCATGCCTGTAATCCCAGCTACTCAGGAGGCTGAGGCACAAGAGTGTGTCGAACCTGGGAGGTGGAGGTTGCAGTGAGCTGAGATCGCACCAGTGCACTTCAGCCTGGAAAACAGAGTGAGACTCTGTCTTTAAAAAAAGAAAAGAAAAGAAAGATCAGGAGAGGAGTAGAGATAAAATTCGCCTATCCATATTATGTAGCCCTTAAAGTTGCACGTTTTGATATTTAATTTAATGAGGAAATGTTCAAGACATTTTTAAGCAAATATGTAGGATATGAAATTGTGTCTGTAGACTGGCTGTGGTGGCTACACCTGTAATCTCAGGACTTAGGGAGGCTGAGGCAAGCAGATTGCTTGAGCCCAGGAGTTCAAGAGCAGCCTGGGTAACATAGTGACACCCCATCTGTACAAAAAACTGAAAAGTTAGCCAGGCGTGGTTAGTCTCAGTTACTTGGGAGGCTGAGGCAGGAGATTACTTGAGCCCAGGAGGTGCGGACTGCAGTGGGCTGTGTTTGCACCGCTGCGTGCCAGGCTGGGTGACAAAGTGAGACCCTGTCTCAGAAAGAAAGAAGGAAGGAAGGAAGGAGGAGAGGACAGGAGAGGAGAGAGAAATTGCATATGTACACTGAACCCCTTCTATTTATGGGTACACCTCTACTAGAAGGCAGCCAACAAAAAGCGGGTGAGAGATTAGAAGTGATTTTCATCTTATTTATACTTTTTTTTTTTTAAAGTCTTGCTTTGTCGCTCAGGCTGTAGTGCAGTGGCACAGTCTCAGCAACCTCCGCCTCCCAGGTTCAAGTGATTCTCCTGCCTCAGCCTCCTGAGTACCTGGGATTATAGGTGCCCACCAGAATGCCTGACCAAATTTTGTATTTTTGATAGGGGGTTTGCCATGTTGGCCAGCCTGGTCTTGAACTCCTGATCTCAGGTGATCCGCCTGCCTTGGCCTCCCAAAGTGCCGGGATTATAGGTGTGAGCCACCGTGCCCGGCCCTATTACTTTAGGTCACAACATTTTTTATACTTACAAACAAGAAATGTTTTCTATATACTCACACACATATGTAATCCAGTCACCATCTCTCAGAGCTCTGAGTTGCTGCTGTGTCCCCAGAAAGGAGATATTATGAAATCCACATGACCCAGAAGGCTTTGTAGGCAGGAGATGGGATAAGTTTCTTCATTCCACACACACTTTTCAGCCCTGACTATGTGCCAGCCTGTGTGGCTTGTTTGTAGGATACACGAGTCAGCCACAGCCCTCACCTTCATGGGAGCAGTGGGTGAGAGATGGAGACACAGCCATGCAGGTGGGTCAGGCTGAGGTTCAGGGAGGCCCCAGGAGAAGCAAGTGCCCCGGGTCCTGAAGGATGGGAAGGTGGACAGGGAGAGCGGACATGTACTGAGTCCCCCATGCACAAGAAGGGTTGCATTGATGCAACTAACATTTGTATACAACAAAGCACTTTTCTGCTACTTTATTACCTCTGCTTAATTTTACTTAATTCACCCAGTGACCTGACAAGGTAGAATTCTTATTAGCTCTATTCTTAGGTGGAAAAATACCAAAGACCTGGGGCAGGTAGAGGTTGAATTAGAAAAGAGACCAGAGTACCAGGGATGTTGGGGGTACTTGGTACTGGGTGACCTTGTTATGTTGATGGTAGTGGCTATTGACATGGGTGGCTGGACAGAGCTGACAGCTAGAGAAACTGAGATACAAGAAGGCTTGGAGACTGAGTAAATTAGTGACAGGGTGGGGTGAGCCTTGTGCCCAGTTTGAGCCTTATGCCCAGCTCCCACTGAACATACCCCATACCCTAAGGAGCAGGCCCACTTCCCGACTGAGGTTCTCTCTTCCCACCTCTCAGCTTAGAGTCCTGTCCCCAAAGTCCCCTCCCCAAGGCTGGCTCCCACCCAGGTTGCAGCCTCAGCTGTCTGCAGGCCGGCCCCGCCATTGCCCTCAACATGCAGGCAGCCAATCCTACATCCTAGCCAGGGAACCTCCTCTCTGGACTTGAAACCCCTTCTAATACCCCCTCCTCAGAGAAGACTCTTCCAGCTGCCCCAGGCTGGGTGAGATGCCTGCCGCCCAGCCTCCTTAAGACTCAGGAAGCAGTTAGTGCATAGCAGTGTGTTTCCCTGCCTGTTTCCTGCCTCCATCCCATAGTTGGGCTCTGAGCCCCTGGGGGCGGGGACTGTGATCTGGGCACCCTCTGCCCGGCACTAGCTCCAGCACAGAGGCTGCTCAGGGCCGCTTGGAGGGTGGAGTCCAAGTGTACGTCTGTGCATAGTCCAGCTCCCTTCTCTGTGTTTCCACACAGGCCCCTGCAATGTGGGAAATAACGCTAATCACTTCCCTGTTGGGAATTTGTCAACAGGTTCCTCCATCTGGCATCCGGCATGTCGACAAGCAGCCAGAACTGAAGACAGAAACAAGGTTGGTGGCGTTTACTGGTGTCTCTGATGTACTCTTCGCTGCTCCCGTACAACCTTTGTTCAGTGAAGAGGACACTGACCGGGTTCTGTGGGCTCATTGTCCAGTCCCACGGGCGGCAGGATGGGGGCAAGGAGGCAGGAAGGGGCAAACGGGTAGACTGCTGAGCAGTAACGCAGAGGGAATAAGAGCATCTTTGTTGACTGCTTATATCACAGAATGCCACAGGCTAGGTAATCTGTTTAAAAAGAAATTAATTCAGCTCCTGGTTCTGGAGGTGGGGAAATCCAAGAGCATGGTACTGGCATCTGGTGAGAGCCGCCCCGTGGCAGGAGCTGGAGAGAGGGTGAGAGTTCATGAACAAAGAAAGAAGAGGGGGCCAAACTCCGGAGGTAATGAACCCGCTCCCACAGCGTCAATCCATTCACGTAGGCAGAGCCCTCCTGAATAATCGCTTCCCAAAGTGCACATACACTGAACCCCTTCCATTTTTAGGTACACCTATGCTAGAAGGCAGCCAACAAAAAGTGGTTGAGAGATTAGAAATGATTCTGTGTTTATTTATACTTTTTAAAAGGTTTCTATAATTTTTAATAAGGGACATCTATTACTTTTTTTTAAGGCAGCCTCACTCTGTTGCCCGGAGAGTCTGCCACAAGGGACACCAACTTTCCAACACGAATTTTGGGGTGCACATAGCAAAGAGGCATCTAAGAGCCTTCGTTGGCTGGCCTGCTGACCTTTTTGTTCATTTGATAACTCCAGGACCGCTACAGTGTGAGGGGGTCCCAAACAGTCCCTAAGACCACCCTCACCTCTGTGAACTCCGAAAATCCGAGACAGGTCTCCGCTAATTCAGAAAGTTTATTTTGCCAAGATTGAGGATGCATGGCTGTGACCCAGCCTCAGGAGGTCCTGATGACGTGCGCCCAAGGTGGTCTGAGCACAGTTTGGTTTTATACATTTTAGGCAGATATGAGACATCCATCAACACTTGCAAGATGAACGTTGGTTTGGTCTGGAAAGGCAGGACAACGAAGCAAAGGTGGAAAGACTCAAAGCGTGGGAGGGGGCTTGCAGGCCATAGGTAGATAAGAGACAAATGGCTTCCTTCTTTTGAGCTTCTGGTTTCCCTCTCTGAAGGAGGCAGTCAGAGACGCATTCATCTCCGAGAGCAGAGGGGTGGCTTTGAACAGAACAGGAGGCAGGTTTGCCCTGAGCAGTTCCCAGCTTGACTTTTCCCGTTAGCTTAGTGATTTGGGGGCAGGCCCCATCTGGCTGGTGCTCTGCGACCCGAGGGTGGTCTGGGACCCGAGGGTGGCCTGTGATCCCTTCTGGCTGGTGGTCTGGGACCCGAGGGTGGTCTGTGGTCCCTTCTGGCTGGTGGTCTGGGACCCGAGGGTGGTCTGTGGCCCCATCTGGCTGGTGCTCTGTGACCCTAGGGTGGTCTGTGGCCCCGTCTGGCTGGTGCTTTGTGACCCTAGGGTGGTCTGTGGCCCCGTCTGGCTGGTGGTCTGGGACCCGAGAGTGGTCTGTGGCCCCGTCTGGCTGGTGGTGTGGGACCCGAGGGCACCCCTAAGGCCTGCAGTTCAGGCTGTGTCCTCATCCCGCTGCGCATCTCAGCAACCCCTGGCCTCCCACTTCCTCCAAACGTGGGGTGTCCTGGATGCCTCATCCAGTCCACCACGCATGCTACCTTTGGGGTCCTGAGTGACTCCAGTGTCCTGTAGCAGCAGGTCTGGGCTTTTGTATGAGCATCTGTGCCTGCAGGGAACAAAGTGGGGTGTTCAGAGTGTCTCATGGGGTTCGGGACAGCACTCAGATGTAGGCCCATGTGGTGAAGCTACAGGATGCCCAGCATCCAGACCCCTCCTGGAAGGGCAGCTCCCCTGCTGGTCAGCAGAGCAGGCAGGGCTGGAGGCCTGCAAAGGGGCAGGCAGGGGCCCTGGCTTCCCACCTGTGTCTCTGATGGTCTCCTAGTGGCTCTGCTTTTGGCAGAGGAGGGGCCCCAGGGGAAGTCTGCCCTTTTCTGCCTTCCACAGTGGCAGAAGAGTCATGCAATGAAATCCCACTGTGAGCTTGGCCAGGATGGCAGCAGCCAGCTGGAATTGTGAATTCCATCGTCCTCTGAAATGGCTGATGCGGTCCATGATTCATTGTACAAGCTGCCCCGGGGCTGCCCTGGGTCTCCGGGATGAGCGAGGCGCAGCCCTCCCCTCAGCAAGCCACAGTCTGTGACCCCAAAGTGACTACAGGGCCTGCACCATTTGTGAGATCCTTCCATGCCCACTGAAGGCCTGTGGAAGGGACCTGAGTGGGGAGCCTCTCATGCTGAGGCCACCAAACCACACTGTGGCTCGCACGTGTGCGTGGGGAACACCAGCCTGTCTCCCGATGGTACAGCTGCGATAAGTGGAGGAACCAGGTTCTTCGCCTCAAGTTGAATTAGAAAAAACGACGCGAACACATAAGGAGTAGTTTTAAGGAGCGGAGAGTTTAATAGGCAAGAAAGAAGGAAGAAGGAAGAAGCACCACCGTGCAGAGACAGAGGGAGTAGGGGCTCCAAAGCCAAAAGAAAGAACCTCAGGTGGTGCCTGTACCAGCCAGGTATTTATAGAGGCTGGAGGAGGCAGTGTCTGATTTACATAGGGCTCAGGGGATTGGTTTGACCAGGCATGTCAGTCACTAGCCCTGGGGAAAATCTGGCCCTCACTCTAGCCTTTTAATATGCAAATGAAGGGCGCCACAATGTCCCATGCTAGTGGGGATGCGTGGGGCCGGCCATGCTGCCAGGAACATGTGGGGCAAGGGCAAGAAGGCCACGGGAATCACCATGCTCAGGTGGACCCAGTTTCTAATGGCCGGCCTTTGCCAGCCTGGCTCTAAGAGCTGCTTTGAAAACAAAAATTTCCCAGGGTCCCCTTTTTGTCTCTGTCTCCTAAAAGAATTTCTTAATAACTCCTACCACACGGAGACTGTCCAGGGCTAGGAAAGGGAGCTCCACAGCCACAGCCAGGTCCCCTCAACGGCAGGGAGGGAGGCCGGCGTCAGCTCCCAGGTCCTGGGCCCCGCTGTGGAGCTGGCTGTGGGACCTGCAGGGGGCCTGACTGGCCAGGCAGCAGCAGCAGTTCCACCCTCCGCACCGATGCCAGCCCGTGCTGACCTCCGGGTCACTGACCCAGCGGGAGGGGCTCACTTAGTTAGCCTGGATGCTGCCAGCACGAGGAGGAAGGAATCCTTGTGCTTGGGGCCTGTGCGGGCGGCGGCCTTCCTGGGCTCTGTTTGCAGTTGCTTTTGAAGCAGCTATTTTTAACAGAGGCTAGCTGGCCTCCGCCGACACATGGAGGCAGTACATGAGAGCCTCTGGCCTCTTAGCGCCCTCCGGCCTAATGGTTCTCATACGCATCTCAGGTCCCCTTGGGCTAATTGTCCCAGTGGGCCTGGCGCTTTCTGGCCTGGGGGTAGGAGGGAGAGCTGTCCTGGTCTGTGTTGTTTGTCAAGTGCAAGCCAGTTAAGGAGAGAATTTGCAGAAGGCAGGCAGGCCTGGGAAAACACAGCCCAGGCGGCATCAGCCTCACTGGCTCTGGGAAACCCACACCCAGGTGGAAGTGGCGTCTTCCTGCTACCTGCCAATCAAAAGGAGAAATGACTGGTCCTAGCTCCTCTGTGCCGGCTCCTGGGGAGCTCTGGGACCCTCACAGGTGCCAGCCTATCCCTGTCTCAAGGTTGCTCTTCAGCAAAAGGCCGACCCCTGAGCACCTGGCCCAGGCAAGGTTGCCATAGGGAGGAGGGGGCACTCACTGTTCTCCCCAGCTTGGAAGGGGGTCCTGATTGCCTGGCTGCCTTTTCCACACCGTGGGGATGGGCGCTCCCTGAGGACAAGGACCTGTCTACCAGAAGAGTGAAACTTTAAGGTATTGGAAGAGATTCACTGTGAGTCAAATACGAGTGGCCATGTCTCATGACACAGCCCTCGGGAGACCCTGAGAACAGGTGCCCAGGATGTTTGGGGTGCAGCTTGGTTTCAGACATTTCGGGAAGACATGAGACACCAATGAAAATACATGCAAGATTTACACTGGTTTGGTCCAGAAAGTGGGACAGCTCAGAGCAGGGGCTTCCAGGTTATCGGCAGGTTTGAAAACGTTCTGATGGGCCCCGCGCAGTGGCTCACACCTGTAATCCCAGCACTTTGGGAGGCTGAGACAGATGCATCGCTTGAGGTCAGGAGTTCCAGACCAGCCTGGCCAATATGGTGAAACCCCCGCTCTACCATAACTAAAAATCTTAGCCAGGCACGGCGGCACATACCTGTAATCCCAGCTATTCAGGCGGCTGAGGCACGAGAATTGCTTGAGACAGGAGGTGGAGGTTGCAGTGAGTCGAGATTGCAACACTGCACTCCAGCCTGGGCGACAGAGTGAGACGCTGTCTCAAAAAACTGTAAAACGTTCTGATTGGCAATTGGTTGGAAGTGTTATCTATAGAAAGCAGTGTCTGTTGGTGGAGCCCGAGGTTTTGTCATGCAAATGAAGCCTCCAGGTAGAAGGCTGTAACAGGCTATGCAGAGCAGACTGTAAGGTTCCCTATCAGACTCTAAGTCTTGCCGTGATGTTAAATGCTGGTCGGCTTTTCCTGAATTCTAAAGGGAGGCGGGCACAGCGAGGCATGTCTGACCCCTGCTTTCAGGTTGACTTTGGGGTGCCCTGGCAGAGCGGATGGAGTTCAGATGGCTCAGGAACCCTAGCATTTAATTTTTGGTTTACAAACAGCATGTTAGACGTCCCTGGAATCAGGCTAGGGTGCTCAGCGGAGGTGAGAAGGATGTGGTCCTAGCTGTCCTGTCCCCACCACCCCCGCAGCAGCCGTTTGAGCATATGGTCACTCAACACACAAGCCATGAAGCACCTACTGTGTGCACACTGGGGTGGGGCACTGTGAACACAGAGGTGAATAAGACCCAAGGGTCCCTGCCATCAAAGAGCCTCCCGTCTGGTGGATGGGCAGGCTCCGATGTGCAGGGTGCTCAGAGGTGCCGTGGCTAAGAGGGGCCCAGGCCCAGCTGCCCCTGGTCACAGACAGCTTCCTGGGGCTGCGGCTCATGGCCCATTCTGGTTCTGGCTCTGGGTCCTGTATCTGAGGAGCCAGTGATCTTCAGGGGACTGCATGTGGGTTTCAGGACCCTGGGGTGGGAAGGGGGTGGCCCTGTGCCTGTGAGTAGCCCAAGATAAGCCCCAAGAACAGTGAAGGTGGCTGCAGGGACAGCTCAGCTCAGAGGGGCCCCTGCTCTGGCCAGGGGCTGGGTGACTGGTGGAGGAAGCGTGGACCGGCCATGCGGGTCATGTGAGCTGTGGGTTTCCAGGTGCTGCCCCTGGCAGTCTTCCTTTGGAAAAGTTGAGTGAGGTCTCCCCTGTGCACAGAGGCCTGAGTGGTGACTACTGTGGATGGGAGCCAGGAGGAAGCTGGAGACTGGGGGGGCCATTGAGGAAGGAGGAAAGAGTCCTGAGGCCAAAGGCAGGGCTGTTCTGGCTGAATGGGAGCCAGCACGTCCTGGCAGTTCTCAGCAGTGGCCAAGGGCGGTAGAGCAAGGCTTGGCATTGGAGTCCTGCTGTGCCTCCTCCCAGCTATGTGACCTGGAGCAAGTCACTAGCCCTCTATGAGCCTTAGCCTCTCTGCTTTCACATGGAGATGGGAGGGGTCAGACCGTGTGACCTTAATGACAGGCCTCCCCAGTGGCCATAGAAGGACAGCCGCCTCCCTGGGGCTGGCCAAAGCCAGTGGGGACAGGAGTGAAGTGAGCGAGCTCCCAGCCCTTCCATCTCTGTGGGTCTAAACAAGCCGCTTGTACCGGGGGCCGGGAGAACGCAGGGGTATTGAGTTCCATTGCCAAGCACCTCTGTGTGATTGGCGTCAGGTGGGGAGAAAGCCAGAAAAAGGCCCAGCCTCCTACCACTGGGGAAAATCAGGCCTACCCAGCTCTCTTCTGACTCCTCGTCTCCCATCACAGAGCTGGGAACTGAGCCCAGGGAGGGGAATGAGGACAGTGACCCGGCTGCCCTGCCCAGACCCCGTCAGACACACAGAGAGCAAACCCCAGCCAACACTGCCTTCCTCCCATCTGTACCAAGGCACGGCCGGAGCCTGGGAGACGTTCTTGTGCTGCTGTTGGCATGCTTAGCTTAAGGGAACTTTCTTTTAAAACACCCAATGTTCGACTGCTTTGCAAAGAAGAGGCTTCTCTGTCAAGGTCCTCTCCTGAGCCCAGCTTGAGCTGAAATGATAGTGGGGAGAGGTTTTCAGCGCTAAGCACCTCATGAGCCCCATCCCTGATCTAATCCTCAGAAACAGGAAGCCCCTTCAGGGAGGTGCCGCGGGGGATGGAGAAGGACGCTGAGACTGAAAGGGCATTTAATGCGTTCATATAAAATGGATACTGCCGCCATGCTGGCCTGTAAAACATTCGACATGGCCCGGGAACAGCGGGCACAGCACACCCTGTTCACGTACCTCAGAGCTAGCTGTCCACTTCGCAAACAGCAGGTGGTGTTGGGCCATCCTGGGTGTCACTGAGGACCCAGCCCCTGCCATCCTCTAGAAATCTGGTCCCAGGGTACAGGCAGACCCCAGAGTTGATGCCCATCTGATATGTAGCACTAGGGCTGAGGGTGACCCAAGGAGGTTGGGCAGGTCTGGAAGAGAACGAGGAGAAGGAGGAAGAGGAGGAGAAGGGGGAGAGGGAGGGGGAGGGGCGGTGGTGGCAGCTGCCAAGCTTAGGATGTGAGGGGGCACAGGTCATGGAGAGGACCTGGGCCTTTGGGCAGGGGCGCATGCAGAGGCAGAGGGCAGGTGGCGGAGTGTCATGCCCACCACCTCTTCTCCCTTCTGTCTAGATGCAGAATCACGTTGTTAGCAGTCAGGGTTGCCCAGGCACCACCCACATGCCTCAGTTGTCCTCCCTCTGCCGTGTGTGGCCCCACGTCCAGAGCTGGTGTTGCCCATCCTCGCCGGCATGCACTGAGGAGTGTAGGAGGCATTGGGTGTCACCCACGCCGGTCCCCGCACAATGCCCAACCTGAGTCAGGCAGCTGAGGCTTCCCTGATAAAGGCCCCTGGGCCAGGCAGCTTGCACAGCAGAAACCCACCTTCTCACTGCTCTGGAGCCTAAAAGGCCAAGATCTCGGTGCCAGCTGGGGTGGTCTCGCCCTCCCTGGCTCATACACGCTGCCTTCTCCCTGCACCTCCACGAGGCCACCCTCTGTGCATGTGTCCTGATCTCCTGTGCTCATA